ATTATGTAAAAACTCTAACAAAGGGTTGTTCATAGCAAACATTCAATGATCATTTTTATTCCACTTGGATTTCTCCAAGGTGGGCACAATATAAGAATCATCTATAATTTCTCATAAATTAAAGTGTCTAGATTGAACAAAAAGTTTAAATCTAATACACCATTGGGCATAGGGGAAAAAAATCTAATCTAGGAGCAATATTGATGGCATAACCTAAAATAGGTGCACCGTGCATATCCATAATGTACATATGTGCAAGCAAGATAACGATAAAATCACAAAACTAGATTAGCACAAAAATATAACTTAGATCTTTAACTCAAGGCGATTAGACATTAAATCAAAGAGCACCAAGCTCTGATACTAATTGTTAGACCCTAGAGGGGGGTGATTAGGGTCTTAAGCTAATCTAATCCGATTATATACCAATTAAAACTTATTAACAAATATATTCTTGCAAGATAGATATACAACTAATTATGAGCAAGAATATGCAATATGAACAAAGGAATATATCCTAACAATGAGATGTACTATGATATATATATGCAAGGATATGAAACTAATACAAGGGTAAACAATTTGAAACTAGATAGTGGGCAAACTAAATAATGAGACAATGACGATATGAGCAATGAGCACAAATAAGAATAAATGCCAAAGCACACTCAAACACAATCAAATGATCACGGAGTTCGGACCTTCCGTCATACGTCTCCGCTCCCCACTCCCGGGGAGAAATCCACTATCACAACCGGGTTTTTCTACGCTCACCCAAATAACGTTTACACCTCACAATGTTGGTTTTTAACGCTCACCGATCAACGTTCACAAATACTCACAATGTCGGTTTTCAACGTTCACCGATCAACGTCCACTCACACTCGGTTTTCTAGTTCACCGAAGAAAACTTCACAATTCACACTCTCACAATATCGGTTTTTAACGCTCACTGATCAACGTCTACTCCTAACACTCGATTTTCTAGCTCACTGAAAACTTTACAATCTCATAATATAACAAATGATTTGTTCTCTACAATAGATGAGAACTCAATGTAAGCTCACACTCAAAGTTACAAAACTCACCAACCCAAATATACTATGTATGAATACAATAAGCTCAATGTGGGTGTGTGTAACAATAAGATAATATAATCAAATCTAAACTCAATATAAAAACTAGCTTTAAAGAATGATAATCAAATAACTAAGCAAATGTAAAGCTAGATAAGAGTTTAGAAATCTTCTCAAATGATCAAGAGGTGGAGGGAGAATAGTTGGAAGCTCAAACTTCAATAGATGATCTCCTCAAGCTCTTGTGGAATTGATTCACAAAACTGAAACACTCAAATGCTTAAAAGCTTATAAACACACTTTAAACAAACTTAAACCCTTAATTAAAACTTTGTTAAAGCTCTTTTAAAACATTCTCTTTGTTACTCATGAAGGATGAGAGCTATGTGGGTATTTATAGCCTCCCAAAACCTCAGCCAAAAAACCCAATCAAAATGACCAAAAAAACCCAAGAGAAAACAGCTCAGAAACTAACCGTTGAACTGATCTGACAGTTCGGCGGTCGATCGCGGCGGTCGACCGCTAGCAACAAAACAACAAAACTACAGCTCAGAACAACAGACGGTCGACCGCGACGGTCGATCGCGAAACTCTCTGGATGAGCCACGGTCGACCGATAAACAATCATACTGAGTTTCTGAACTCTCGGCGGTCGACCGTGACGGTCGACCGCAAACTGATACATGCTAAATTACAGGTTTTGAAAACAGTTTTTGAGACTTTTAAAAATATATTAAAAATAACAAATGAAGTCCAAAAGTAATGAAATGATAATCATATTTTACTATAATTTTATACCCTCATTATCTATTTTATATGAATAAATATACCACTAATAATTATTTTTATCTTTTAATTGCAGGTTAATGAAGAATAAATCTCAAACTCTCATCTCTCAACAAAAACCCATTGATTAAATGAAGAAATGAAGCAAAGAAGCACATTGAAAAATCAATTTCCAAATTATCCAAAATCCAGAATCAAGCTGAGTAGCCTGTAGAAGCCGGAGAAAGTCAAAAATCCAATATGAAAAGAAATCATATTCAAAATGGTTGGCCGTAAAGAAACGACGATATCTCCTAATCCGGAAGGCGGAATTTAACATATAATATATGAAAATCGCCTATCTCGACGAGACGAAGCTATCCGTGAAATCAGAATTTGAAAATAATGAGTATTGATGTCGGCATCGATGTGGGCATCGATGCCTGCATCGATACCTGCATCGATGCCTGCATCGATACCTGCATTGATGCCTGCATCGATACCAGATTACTGTAGCGCGTCTCAATGGCTGATTTTGCTTGTCTTGGGGCTCAAGTTTGATTCAATGGCTCTCATTCACTGATGTTTACTATAAATAGGGGTAGAGAGTGAGGGGCTAGAGGTGTGAAAATTTTGTAAACTCCTTTTGGAGAGGAGGGCTACTCTTAATTGAGAAGGCCTTCCAAAAATTATAACTTTAGTGCAATAATTAATAATAATTTTTTCACCACTTTAAATTTTTCTCTTCTTCTCTTTGTTGGATGATGAAGATGAAGATGAAGATGGAGAATTATTTGAAGGTTTGCATTTCTTTCTTTTTCTCTTTTATTGCTTATTAGTTTAGATTTATTTCTATGCTTGTAGTTAGATTTTATTTTCTTGTTAAATAGCCAAGAGGCTAGAACCCTCTTGCCTTAGATTTATTTCATGCTTATAGAGTAGATTTATTTTCTTGCATTTAATTCTTGCAATTTTATTTTGTAGTTTAGATTTTGCAATTTATTTTGTAGTTAGATTTTAATTTCTTATACTATTCACCTTGAGGCTAGAACCCTCTTGGGTTTAGTTTTTCTTTTTGTTTATTTTTATTTTGTTTGATTCGCCTTTAGGCTAGAACCCTCTAGGGAATCACCCTTTTCTAAGAAGTGGGTTCAATTTTAGATTATCCATATCTATAATTGAATCCACCATCTTTAATTTCTTGCATTTTCTTTTATTCTAGAATTTTGTTCTTCATTCTTGAATTTTTTATTTGTTTCTTGATTTTATTCATTTTTCCTTCTCACCTTATTGATCATACTCATTCTTTTTCAAATCCACTCTCACTTACACTTGCACCTATTTACAAATCACACTTATTCTTTATTCTTAATTGTCATGCACAAAACATAAGAACCATTTCTAATAATCTCTTAAAATCACCTTCCTCGTGGGATCGATATTTTTTTATACTATAACTTGATAAATTGTGCACTTGCAATTTTGGTACATAATTATGTCGCATCATGAAACTTTGGGAAATGTATATAAACATGTAAATGAACATGTTACAAAAAAAGTTACCAAATTGCATTTCCCATTTATGAAAAAAATCATCATTTTGTAAAATAGTCCAAAACATGAAAATGTGAACATATGAGTTTTGACATTTTAGCTTAACCATGTTTTGAAACAATACAAAATAATTTTGTAGACTTAATAAAAAATATATATGATTGTTATTAAGTCCATAAACAAAGAATACAATATTTTTACAAAATTACATATTCTATGCAATATATACGAAAACACAATAGAGTATGAAATATGTAATTTCATATATATAAACATAAAAACCCAAAATACATGTATGTATATATATAACTATATATATGTATAGAAACCAAATATGTGTGTATATATGATTGAGCTTAAAGTACTAATACACATAATATAAAACCTAAACTACATTAACCAAGCTTGATCTTGATCTTCATTGTAGCTTAACTTGGTAATCTTGCGGATGAAGCTTAAACTTGGATCTTCAACTTTGAATTGCATTGCTTCACTCCACTATTTCGCCAACCTCCATTGGATATGATCGTGAAAGCTCGATTCCATCCATCCTCCAACATATTGTTTGTCTACAATAAATACAAAACACAAACACTAGATAAACAATATTAGATGTAAATTATTTGTTAAATCATCATCAAAACAAGAAGGTCAACAGAGTCAAATGTGAGTGTCTAGCGATGAGTTCTCTGTTCTCCTAAACTCTTAAGGGGGACTGTCCACAGAGGTGGATATAGAAAGTAATCAATGTTTCATATTTAGTTGTAAAATAATATGAGTTTATCCTCATTTAATGAGCGAGTTTTCTCCCCTCTCTCAAAAAAGAGGGAGAGATTCTTTCTCGTGCACATACTACGAATGTATAAAGAAAAAATAAGTGTGATGTAGCGGCTTATTTTGTAAAATGAACTATCAAGAGTAACATACGTGATGAAGCCTAGCCTAGTTATCAGAGACTCACCACTTACTCTCTTGGTTTATTTTGCTAAATGAACCGTCACCTCACCACCATTAAAACTAAATATAAATAGCCGCTACTTAACATTGCCAAAAAAAGGGTGAGTCGGTCCTTCTCCTGTACACGCCACCAATATATAAATACGCACTAATAAAGGCGGAGAGTGCCGTGTGACCAACTCAATCCTTAATGGTGATTTCAATCTGACTTAATTGCTATTATTATTATTTTCTTTCTAATGCTTGGGACAGCTGTGGAATGAGAGCTTGATACCCAAATCAGTCATTAGAAAGAACTTTGTAAGCTCTACCGAAGGAATCAAGCATAAACAATCATCACCGAAAGAATCCATCTTCCACTATTCTTGGGTACCCAAATCAGGTTAGAAACTTACTTTCCATCAGAAACTTTTCTACATAAGGGTACCCAGCAAATGCAAACGAAATATCCTAACCCGTGTCGTAATTGCTCGAAAAACCCAAGAAATTGTTTTAAGCACGTTTCTAAAACACTGAGCTGCTTCCCCAAAACTCAAAAAATGGTCAGATGCAATGCAAAACAAAAGAGTTTCAGAACTGGAAATGGAAGTCTGTTTCGTGGAAATTCATTGCTGCACCGCTCTCCTATTTTCCTCGATAAAGTCAAAGTTAACAAAAAGTCAATCAACTTTGTGCAGGGAGAAATTTTACTACATAAGGTTACTTTTTATTTCACGGGTGCCAATTTTGTTACGCGAAGCAATGATATTTATAACCTGAGCTTAGTATATACAGTTTTATTTTTCCTTCTGCAATGATACTTGTAACCTAAGCTTGATATACTGTTTTTTTTTCCCTTCTTTTCATGAACAGCTGAAGCTTGCTTTTTCATGGGAGTGGTAGCCTGAGCAAAAACCCAAGATCTATAAAAAAACCCCAAAAGAATGAAATACAAAGAGGTTACAGGACACGGGCTTCATTCTTTAACTTATCAATGAGCTCATCCACGGAGGAAACCATGATGCCAGCTTTCCTTTTGGGGGGTTCGGTGACCTGTAAAACCTCTAACTCTGACTTGATCTCCACATTCAGATCTTGAGGAGTCATTTTCTTGATGACCTTTGATTTCGCCTTCATGATGTTGGGCAGTGTTGCATACCTTGGCTGGTTCAATCTCAAGTCAGTGCTGCAGCAAGAACATGAAAACCATATCATAAAAGATGCACAACATTAAATTGAATGAAATGAGGACAATCTCTTTATCAGACTAATAAGTTGAGCAATTCTTCTTGGAGCAGTCAGTTAACTACGATGCCTGAGTCTCTTAGATCTCAGATTTACCAACCTGAGATATAATGATGGCTTGAGGGGGTGGTGGGGGGGACTTGGCATGTGCATTGATAAACAATATCACTTAACAGCCAATACTAACATTTGGCGAAGTTACAACTTACAAATATCTGTTGCAACAGAATAAGGGGCTAGTCAAGAGAATAAAATTTAAAGCACTAATTATTGGAGGATATGAGGCGAAGAAAAGAGAGAGGATTTAACAGTAATATGTCAGAGACTATGACATTAAATGCCGAGAAATAATTTGAAGATTGTGGACAGCCTGCAGTCTTAGACATAGTCTGATATGCCCTATCACCTACAGTCAATAATTTGAAGATTGTGGACAGCCTGCAGTCAGATTCTGTTCCTAGTTCCGTGTATTCATCACCAAGCTGTTTCATATTAATGCCGAGAAATAAAATTCCACCTATAAATTGGCAATCTGTAAGCCTCCTGCTGATTTCTAACCAAATTTTATTATTTCATGTTCTGTGCATAATGAATTATTAGACCAACATGCTTAAAATGTCAACTGCCAAGTTGCTTGACGAGATGCAAGCAGCTTTTATTGCAAGCAGACCTAATGGTGAGAATAATCTAATCTAGGAAGTATCGTCCTTCATTTTCATCCATCCACGTCAGGAAAAAGAATAAGCTGCCTCCATTAACACGTTACAAGTAATGTCAACATGAATTTGTCAACAGGGAACAAGCGCTAAAGTATACGTTGCCCACTGCCGCCACGATCATAGGTGCAACATGCATTCTCCATATGAGGAGGTGTATACATATACTTTTTTGGATTCATATACAGGACATGCACAAGTGCAGAGAGAGTGATGAGGATCGAGGCGAAGGCTTTGATCTCAAACAGATATGAAAACGCCAAAAGAGTTTATTTATACATTTATTTATTTATGAGGGAGGCAGCAGATTAATCTGAGGAGATAAACGAAAGAACAATGGTACTAAGAGAATAAAGATAAATTTGACTCCAAAAGAGTTCATTTATTCATTTATTTATTAATGGGGGAGGCAGCAGATTAATTTGGGGAGATAAATGAAAGGACAATACTAAAAGAATAAAGATATATTTGACTTCAAACCTAGCAACTCACATGCTTACACGAGGGTGGTTTTTTCAAACTCAAATATTTCCAGGAGAAAAACTTAATACTAAAGATAACAACAAATCCTTAAAATCTTATCTAATTAAACTGAAAATCAACATAATCAAATATCTAACTGAAATGTCTAAAAAGATAAGATCTCAAACTGCAAACCCCTATTGACTAAAATAAGATTTTCTAAAATAAGAAGGAAAAAATCCTGACTACATTACTAAATAAAATCATCCCAATCATAACCTGTGCAGCATCAGAGAACCCTAACTGGATTATGGTAAATTTAGATGCAAAAATAGAAAATTTACTTAACCATTATACCAATAATTTTTATGATAAATAGAGCCAACTGTGCATACTTTACTTACTTTGACGTGCTAATAATCTAGGAAAACAGATGAATGTTTTTTCACTGATACAAGATATACCAATTGAAACAGTATGAGCAAGAATTTCTATACAATCAGTGAAAAAGATAGATATATTGACGGTCTGTAAGTTATCTTCACTTTGTCCCCAACTAAAAAAGTTTTACTAATAATGTAATGCCACTGCCCAGAAGAAAATAATTCAAATAATGGATTAAGCCAACTCAAAATGCATCACGACTTGAGGGAAGGAACTTACGTGATTACTGCAGGAAGATCTAAACATAGGGTCTCAAGACCCCCATCAACCTCTCTTTCCACCGTTGCAACCTGTTTCTCCTTGTCTAATACAACCTAAAGTAAGAAAAAGAGAATAACATAGTCTAGCAATATACTTTATTCATTAATAAAGTAAAAAACTTCCATTAAAAAGTTAAAGAATCAGATCTGGCAATCGAGAGGAATTCTCAAATGAAACAGCATATGAAGGTTGATGCAAGTTTGGGTGAAAGAATAAGCAAACAATAAAAATAAAGTAAGCCAAACATGAACAATGAGATCAGAAAATCTCTGATCGCATATCTGAGGAACTAAAAACTTGGCTTCAATTCTTTAGCGGCTGAACTAAATATGAAAATTTAATCACTGGTGTTTAAAATGCAGAGTGGTTTACCAGATCAGAAGAAACACAATACTTAAATACAAGATGATTCTTAAATAGAGAAAACTACAATGAACAATTGCAAAATCATAGTTAACACCCAATCATAATTCTCAAATATATCAATATAAAGCAACTAAAGTTCAGAAAGAAATTCTGGTGTTTATAAGTGAAACAGTTCTCTATCTATCGACAAATGTCTGAAATATGATTTTAGGAGATCAATATCGGATGAATTAAACTCAAAATTTTTCTGGTCCCTCAAATTTTCTTGAGACAAGATGGTGTATTCCAAATGCAATCTGTGCAAAGAAATATGCACATGCACATGCATTTAACACAAACATCATATTAGAAAGTATAAAATCACAGGATACATGCAAGTACAAACATATGTGAATTGATAAGTGTACTCGATATTTTACATCTATACTTGTAATATTAGAAATTAGAATAGCTTCCTTGATTATATCTATCAAACAAATTTCTAACTTCAAACCTTTGGAACAAAAAGGTCCTTTCACATACATTTCTATATAATGGCTAACCTTTGAGGCAAAGGTTCCCTGTGGCCACTTGAGAAGTCCAGCAACCATCTGTCCTGTTTGGTTACAGTCATCATCAATAGCCTGGAACAGGAAGAATACAATAATAAGCAATAGAACTGCCAGACAACATTAAGTAGTGGAAAAACCAAGGTTATAGCAAGTGAAAAGAAAATAGATGTATTGAAACTAATCCATTGTCCACTCACAAAGAATCATTTAAATATTAGCCCAAAAAAAGCTAATGATATTGAACAGAACTAGGTCAATTGAACAATTTAAACAGATAATACGGAGTAAACAAGACGAACAACTACAAACTATCAGTCAACACCTAAGTTGCATGGAAACGGGCACGGGTACTGGTACGGGTGCGGGTACGGGACATGACAAAACTGTAAAATGTTGGGTACGGGGACACGACTACATATATATATTGAATTAATAATGTACATGAGATAAATTTTTTTCCGCTTCATGTGTCATTAGAATTAAAATTTCGATCACATTTTTTAGTTTATTTTATCATATTGATTATCATGAATTGTAAACTACTCATTTTTTTACTAGACATCTAAACGACCCATTAACTATATAGTTTTGAACTTGGGTATGAACTGAAACGAACCCGACCCGTATCCCATTAGTTTCAAAAGACGAATGTGAAGCGTAAGCTCTACGTCTAGGGAGTCTTTGACAAGTGTTTTAAATTAACACATATATCGTCTAATTGAGTACATGTTGTAATAAATGCATGCATATATTCAAGAAGTGTCCATGAAGTTTGGGTATGGGAAAGTGTCGGGTACGTATCCAGTACGGGTACAGCTTCAATAATGAAGTACCCGGGTAACATAGGTCAACACCTATTTGTTACTGAAATGGTTTTTGCTTCCTATAAATTGGACGATTAAGAATTAATTACTAGTTCCTATTTATTTATGTGTTGATAACACACACATGCACACATGTAATGTGCACGCGCACACAGACACACTTAAAAATATTACAGATCATTCCCCTCATCCTATAGTTTAGATTGTTGGCTCATGTATGTGCCACTGTCATGTTTGTGTCTTGCATTTGTGTCCTTACTACATAGCAAGGTTATGGAAAGCGCTAGGGGCCTGGGCGCTTGCCCCGACGCGTAGAGCCTAGGCACCTCGGCGGGAGCCTAAGTAGGCCTGAGTAGTTTTTTTTTCTATTTTTAGTTATAATAAGAAAGAGGTAGGCACCAGTAGGCACCAGATTGACGCCTAGCACCTAGGCGGATATCTTCCTTTGTTTAAGTGGGGGTGGCGAAAGTTTTCTGAAAATCGAAGGAGGAGGTGGAGGTGTTCACAGTTTGTGGATGAGGCAAAAAGAGTCAGAGGAGGTTGGATGACGTGAATGCTGAAACAAAAGGAAATCACGACCAAAACTTAAGTGGTGCAGTTTGTGCAAGTGACCTACGCTGTCCTAGGCGCTCCCATGGCTTAGGCGGCTGACCTAGGTATCACTTAGGCCTAGGCATGTCCCTAAACGGGCTAGACGCCCACTTTTTAAAACATTGCCATATAGAAGGTTCATATGTGATGCAAGACAAAACCAGAACTAAATTCAGCATAAGTTCTAATTAAGATTTTAGTTAGGATTTTATTTTTAAGGATTTGATTTTTCATTTAGTGGAGATATTTAGTCAGGAACGAATTCGTTGCTTAGATAAGATTGAATTTTTTATTTTGTTAGGATGTGTTATTTAATCTTATCTATTGGTTGGGTTAGATTTTGTTTTATTCCTATAAAAGGAGTTGTATTTCTTCATTTTTAGGAGGGAGGAGAGAAGAATGTTAGTGAAAAATCTGCATGTGAATTGCAACTAGTATTAAGCATATGAGATGCTGCTATGTGACATGCTCGGGTGTGAGACCTATATCAGTATTTTGTTCTATTCTTAAATGAAGAGTGAAATTTTATTATTTGTATTTTCATTTTATTTGATCTTGTCGTTCCCTATCATTTGGTATCAGAACCGAAAAGATCTATCTTTATAGCTTTGACATCAGCGGTGCAAAAATTCAAAGTCCATTAATGCTATGCAATTTTAAACTTGCGGACAAGTTTCGTCAAGAGGGAGGAGAGAATAATATTTATGATAAATCAACATGTGAATTGTAACTAGTATTAGACATGTGAGGTGCTGGTATGCGAGGTACCCAGAGTGTGAGAACCATATTTGTATCTTTTCTAAATTCTTAAATGAAGAGTACAATTTTATTATTTCTATTTTCATTTTATTGAATCCAAATAAGTTCGATCAAGAATCTCCATATTGTCATTCCCCATCATTTGGTATCAGAGTCGAAAAGATCTATCTTTATAGCTTTGACATCGGCGATACAACATTAAAAATTCATTAATGCTATGCAATTTTAAACTCAAGGACGGAGGAGGAAGAATGTTTATGAGAATTCTACATGTTAATTGCAGCTCATCTGAGATGCTAGCATGTGAGGTGCCCCGGTGTGAGTCCATATTTGTGCTTTTTGCTATTCTTAAATGAAGAGTGTAATTTTATTATTTATATTTTTAATTTTTTTAATCCAAATAAGTTCAATCAAAAATCTCTATCTTGTCCTTACCCATCAATATGTTTTAAGCAATTTAGAAAAATAGGATAGTGTCCAAGGAGAAACCATGATGGATTCTAGAAAGGAACAAGTGCCTAAGGTATATTGATGTGCTAGAAGACGTCACATAATAAAGAAACAACTAAGATGAGAGCAATATAAAAGATCCAGTCTTGATCACCATAGGCTTGCATCAAGGATTAACATTAAGTTGCTATCTCTTTCCATTAGTTACAGATAAACTTATTAGGTATACATACGATGGCGCCACATGTGCATATTACCAGTCGATAAAGTAATCTTCACGTATTAAGGTAAAGTAGGACTCTAGGATCTAAAGGACTCAGAATTGTTAGATTGAAACATGAATAAGAATGTGAAGTTAACTAAATTGTGAGAAATAATGTGTATATTGTATGAGTATGTGGTTAAGAATATATTCTACGAGCATGAGGTCAAGAAATATCTTAGGATCAACCATTTTAAAATGATAAAATTGAGGGAGATGTTGTTCACACTTTTAAAGTGGAATAGGAATATGTGTACTTCTGGGTTGTTTCGTTAAACTATTTTTAATGAAACATGGGAGCTAGTTACCCACCGTTTTACTTTAAAAAAGTCTCGCTTAAACTTAAACTCACAAACTCATTACACAATATCCAGCATTGATTATTCATCTCCCTTACTGAAGCTCAATACTGAACCTGTAACCTGCTACAACTTGGCCAGCTCCCCCAAAATTACCACAAAATGGGTTTTGGTTGAATGTCCCTCGCTTACTTTGAGGCGGGACAGAAGACAAGAGGTAAACTCTTATTAAAGATCCAACATAAAATGAAGAAACTTACTCTAGAACCCAAAATTACCACAAAATGGGTTTTGGTTGAATGTCCCTCGCTTACTTTGAGGCAGGACAGAAGACAAGAGGTAAACTCTTATTAAAGATCCAACATAAAATGAAGAAACTTACTCTAGAAATGTGGGTATGCACTAGATAGAGAGTAAAAAATGAGCGCATCTATAGGAGGTTAGAGATTACTCCTATTAAGATAATTTGTGGCAATTGATTTGCCACGTCATGCACCAATTAGAAGAAATGATGAAATTATAGTTAATGAGCAAAAAGGAATACAGACAGACCTAAAAGAAATTGGTTGAAAGTAATTAAGAATGAATGTTAATAGTTAATGGAGGAAATTTACCCCATAATAGCACCAAATGAAAAGATAAGATCTAAGTAAACGACCTATTTGATGATGACGATGATTATTACTACTACTATTACTATTACTATTACTCTTATTATTACTATTACTATTACTATTACTACTATTACTATTACTACTATTACTACTATTATTATTACTATTACTACTATTACTATTACTATTACTACTATTATTATTAGAGATTAATGAGTATCCTTGATAAAGAGGGGGATTCCCTCCTTAACAATTATGTGACACAATCTTCACCATGTAAAATTCTCTCTCTTACTTTATTCTCTCTCCTTCACAAGGTGGGGATTGTGTCACATCATTATCAAGGAGGAAAATCCCATTCTTGTCAAGGATACTCATTAATTTATTATTATTATATCCTAATGATGCAAGTCTATAACCACACCACAACAAAATTGTTTCCAAGATTCGCACGTAATAAACCATACTAACAAACAAGCAAGGAAGCTGCTGGCTATTAAAACATGCAAATGTTCTCTCTAAAATTTGCTACAAAATGGACAAAAGAAAAGAAAATCCCAAACTAACTAACCAAAAGTGTTTTACTCAGTTACACATGATCGCAATTTGCTTTCAAAAATAATGTACATGGTTGTATCTTTATTAAAAAAAAACATCCATAAGATTGATATGCTCTGTAGTGAGCATAAAAACTGAATTAAATTCTATCACAGCTAATATCAAGTAAGCCTAAAAACTGAATATTAAATTTTATAAAATGTTTGAAAAATAACCAAACAGTGTTCCAAAAAATAACTCAAAGCAATTCTGCACATCCCAAAATTCCTTTGTGCTAATCCCGTAAAAAATACCGTAAAAGAACAATTGAGTTTGCATTCATTCCATGCCCACGCATACGAATTCAACTTGATAATTGATCTACACCCAAAATGAAAAACCATATCTCCATAGCAACCAATTTAAGCACAACCAATTAAAGAAAAAAGTTTACCCATTAAACCAATTTCAACACAATCCAATCAAGGGGGTTGAGGGAGAGATCGAGAGAGAGGGTTCGAGTTATTACCTGTGTCGGCGTCGGTCTCGAGAGAGGAAGAAGTGATGGGTCTTCGACGGGGGAGCTCGACGTCGGCGTCGACATAGGGAGGGTCTTTCTACGAGCCAAATATCGGCGTCGATAGCGGGAGGAGGGAGGGTCTTCGACGGGCCAAATCTCGGCTGTCGGCGTCGGTCTGTCGACAGCGAGAGGAGGGAGCTTGTTCGACGGGGGGAGAGGGACGATGGGAATTTGGGTGTAGATCGGGGGGTTGGCGTTTGACAGCTGGTCTACGCTCTTTTCAAAATGAGGGCTCATTTGCAAAATTCCCTTTGATTGCTGACACCTATTGAAATCAGATCTGTGGCTGAGATCTGGTCACATTAGCTCCATAGGAGGAAACTCCCTCCTATGTCAATGACCTCCATTAATCTCTTACTATTATTACTATTACTACTATTACTATTACTACTATTACTATTACCACTATTATTCATTTTATTTTAAATTTTTTATTTTTATTTACTTATTTATTTATTTATTTATTTATTTTATTTTTTATGTTTTGATAAATAAGTTGAGTATGCAAAATAGAGACAGAAAAACCTAAACTATCAAAGAATTGATAGCTTCTTCCATATCTCAGATGCAACAAAGATTGACTTAACGATGGGTCACAAAATTAGACATTTCTTATTTCATAATCTTCGACAAGGTAAAGAACCAACATCTTCACAATTAACCTATACAATTTGTTAGCAGCAATAAAATCTCACGTTTTCACCAATTTCCAACAATTAGGACAGAATTAATCTCCAAGATTGCAACTTTATACCTGCTTTCCAAGAATCAAGAGCCCCGGCTTCTCAGCCTCCACAAGCGACCGGAGAATCTTCGACAGCGGGTAAACCGCGCGTGTTCCCCGGGTCCACGTGCACCGCACAGGTTCGGCCGCCCTATGGGCCAGCGCACGCCGCAGCGTGTACAGCGCCCACTGCGCGGGCCCACCGACACGCGACGACCTCCGACGCGGCGCCGGACTCTTTGATCCTCAGCGCCTCCTCCAGCGCGATCTCGCAGAAAGGGTTCATCGACATTTTCACATTGCTCGTCTCAACTCCGGTCTGGAATAAATAATTAAGAGGAATGTCAGGGGTTTAATTGTAAAAACAAGTTATGAGGAGTGCTTGGCATAAATTTGGTACCTTGTCCGGTTTTACTCGGACTTTGACGGCGTAATCGACGACTCGCTTGACGGCGACGAGGATCTTCATTTTTGAGGTTTCGGTGAATTTTGGGTTCGCCGAAACGGAAGAGGAGTTTATGGTGCCGTGTTAGCTTTGCTCAAGAGAACTCAGCCTGAGGTCTGCCACGTGCAGCGCGCAAGCGTTTTGTGGATCATTGTTAGGGTCGGCCCTAGGTTTGTTTTCTTAGCCAATCCAATTTTGGTTTCCTTTATATTAAAAATTTGGTACGAATAATAACCATAAAAATAAATACATATAATATAATTTAGCATTCTATATTGGGCTCAAACTGATAACATTCTCTTACAAAACTAATATTCATATAAGAAAAGATTACATTTGTGCTACAATTTAATTCAAAGAAAAATACTTCTTATTGAATTTTTTGAAGCGAATTCTTCAATTAAAATTAAGTCATCATACTTAAGTTTCTCCAAGTATTCATTTTCAACTGATATTATTACCAATCCATTCAATTGTTCCTGTGACATGGTAGTACGAAGATAACTTTTTATCAATTCTAACTTGAAAAAACTTCTCTCCGACGAGGATATTTAACAAAATCCGATAAGCAACTCATGCACATTGAAAGCCACCATCATCCTAATAAGATCTTATGAAGTCAATGATGTCTATTGATTTAGTCACTTCCATCGGCAGCATTGTTTGCAAAGCTCGTAGGTCATTGAATAAATCTTTCTCATGTATATCACATTGTTGGTTGTGTTCCAAGTATCTTTGTAATTTAGTGCAATGTTCCATCATTTTTTCTTCACCAATACTCATGAACTTTGCATTAAACAAAAATACGAAGATTTCTTCATAGAGCTCGAATTGTTCAAAACGATCTTTGAGTGATGTAAGAGCTTGATCAATAATATGGAGGAAATAGGAAACTCTAAAATTATCCTCCGGTGATTGACTACCTTCTGCATTCGCTTCCACATCCTCATCAAAAATGCTTCTTTCTACGAACCACTCTTTTTATCGGAAATGTCGGATTGATACCAACATCATTAGCAAGTTCATTGGCTTCTTTCATCATGTTTTTAAAACCGTCTTCTCTAAACTTTTGAAAGATAACAATAAGCTCGTTTATTCTTGTAATTGCATCCTCCAAATTCATCTCTTCTTGTTGAAGAACTTTGCTAACTTGATTGACTTTATCTAAAATCTTATACCAAATACACAAGCTAATCAAGAACTCAAAATCCTCCAAAGCATTTTTACACAAGCCTTTAGCTTCTGCCATCACTATGTCCTCTTTAGAACTATTTGCAATTTCAATCAAAGCGTCTCTCAACTCTGGTGCTTGATATCGGATTGCTTTAACACTTTCAACATGACTTTCCCAACGAGTAACCGACAACGGCTTTCGTGTCAGACCCTTTACATATGTTTTAAGAACATCACACCGATGTGTTGATCCAGCAAACAAAGTGTAAACCTTTTGCACATATGCAAAAAAATTCTAGCTTATATTTTGCTATATCGCATAGTGCAAGGTTTAAGCTATGGCACCCACATGGTATATAAAAAACTCGATGATTTATGTCAAGAAGTCTTCTTTGTAGACCTTGATGTTTACCTTTCATATTTGACCCATTGTCATAACCTTGACCTCTTATATCATCAATGTTGAGGTTAAGTTCATTCAAAGTATCTTCAAGTTGATTGAAAAGCCCAAGTCCCGACATGTCATCAACCTTTATAAATCCAAGAAAAAACTCTTCCACCTTAACTTGATTTGTGTCTTCAATATCCACACATCTAATGATAATTGACATTTGTTCCTCATGGCTTAAATCCGACGTACAATCAAGAATAACTGAAAAATACTTTGCTTTTAAAAAAATTTAAGAATTTTTTGCTTTGATCTCATTGGCCAACAAAATTATCAATTCATTATGAATTTTATGGCTAAGATAATGGCTCTGAACTTCTTTATCTACCACCCGCCGAAGATGATCTTGCATAATTGGATCAAATTCTGCAAGGAACTCTATAAGTTGACAAAAAAGTCCTTTGTTCTTCTCATAAATCTTCTTATTAGTTCCACGAAATGGCAAACCATTTCGAGAAAGAGTCTTCACAACCGCAATGATTCGAACTAGTATCATCTTCCAACGAGTTTTCTCTTTGTCAATTTGTGCTTCTATGTTTTTATCAATTGTTGCCTTTAGTTTTAGTCCTTTTTGTATGTCAACCCACTTTACAACATTTTCCCAATACTCCGGATTACTTTCATACTCTCTAAGCTTTGTAGGAAGGTTATGCCAATCGTCAATTCCATTCTTCGCCAAATTGGTTGTCATTGGTTTATTCTTGAACAACTTGCAAAAAAACCAAAATACCCTATTTAGTTCATTTGAATAGATAAGCCATTTCCTTTCATGCTTCTTGCCATTTGGAAATTCATGGATGTAATATTTGGAAGAAAAACTTCTATTTCACCCACTCTTCTTTTCACTTGGAAACTCATCATTTTTCTTTAAAATCTTAATAGGACCACGTTAAACTATCATCATCCTCTTAGTATCATTTATACTTCCCCACAATCCCGGATCATAATTTACTGCCACATCTTTCTCAAGATCAAGTATGCTTTCATGATATTCACTAAAAGCTACTTCATTGTCATTTTCATCCACATAGACATTTTCATTCACAGGCTCTTCATGATCTTCATCACTAGCTTTCTCATTACCACTTCCATCCGCATAAGTGACTTCATTCATGGGCTCCTCAATGATCTCATCTATATTTTCACTAATATTGACAGTGGCACTAGCTTCTTCAACTTGACTCGAAAGAAGAGAATGTTGTGTTTTTGTTTTGAATAGCTTAGAAATTGAGCCATCTAGTAATTTTGTCATTTCATCTTGACGTTGCTTGACTCTTCTATTATGAGCTCCAGAGTTTCGTTTTCTAATCCGTACTCGGTTTTTGTCATCTCCCGTCATGGTGTATTGTAAAATATAACATATAATGAAATCACAATCAACTAAACTGACGTCGGAACAGAGACTTAGCAATATCATTATTATTAAAACCCTAATTTCATTCCAAAACATCATAACCCCTAATTCAACAACTAAGATTCAGCCAAGATTCAAAATCGAAAATCTTAATTTCATTGCAAAACATCAAAAACCCAAATTTCCGTCCAAAAAAACCCTAAAATTATTTATTTAAAAAATTACCTAGTTGTACTTCTTCGATGGATCGATCAGCGTCAATTATCTCCGCCTTTTAGGTCAGAGGAGTGCAGGCTGTGCAGCCAACAGAATTTTATGGTATTGTTTTGCAAAAAAATCGTGGTATTGTTTAAAGAGGTAGAATCTAGATCTAAGATTTTTAAAGAAAGATCTAGAAATTTAGGTCGGAGACTCGGAGGGAGGAGTACAGGCGTGCAGCCAGCGGAAGATGAAAAAAAAACCACGCGAAGTCTAACCTTAAGCCTTATCCACGTGTTATGCACGTGTTTGAAAAAAAACTGACGAAATGCACCCTCTAAGACTCGAACATGGGCGGTTTACACAACAGACAAACCCTCCAACCACAATAACAAGCCCGCATTATGTTAAAGCTTAGGATTTTATGTTTATAAATTATAACCCTACATTATATATAAAAATTTTGGTTGCCCCCCGGCTCTTGGTTGCCCCAACCCCGGGGCTTGGTGGGCATACCCCATGGCCGGGCCTGATCACTATTGACTACTTGAGACCCTATTTGTCTGGAAATTGCAAGAGCTATTTACTCTACTTTGTCAACACACTCTATCTCAATAAAACGCTAGCTAAATTACACGTGTCTATGGACATTCTATAAATAAGTAAAATAGATTATGGAAAAAGATAAAAATAATTTTATAGGAAAAATTATGTCAATGCCCTAAATTTCAAAACTCAATGTGCCCCAGCCCTCATACTTTTTGTAATGTGCTGTAGCCCCCAAAATTTGAAAAAAATGTGGCCCAGCCCCTCCAGCTTGTGATTAGCCCATATTTGACCTAGAAACCCAATTTTACCCCCATCTTCTCCTTCTCCTTCTCCTTCCTCATCCTCTTCTCCTTCTCCTTCCTCATCCTCCTTCATCCTTCCTCCTCGGCGATCATCCAGTCCGTCGTCGACTCTGCATGGGCTCCACCGGCGATCCTCTTCCTCATCTCCTACTTTCTCATTCTCTCCTCCCTCATCCTCCTTCCTCCTTCCTCCCTGGTGATCCTCCAGTTTGCCACCGACTCTGCATGGGTTTCACCGATTGTTGTTCAGCCACCATCGATGACCGATTGAAGATACTGCTCAATGCCATCACTCAATCCCAAATCCGACTCCCTCCAATCTCCACTATACTAGAGTTTCCCCCTTACTCCTCGCCCAAAGAAATTTATGAAAAATTCGTCCTCTCTTCAAGCCCGATGGAAAAGGACTGTGTGATTATGCTTTGTTCATTGGAAGCAACCGGTCTACGTGTATATCTAGCCGAGATATTCTTGGAGTGAGAGGCAATTGTATCTACTTGTATATCTAGATGAGATGTTGAGTGGTCTAGTCTTTGTTTAAAATTTTATTATACATAGGCCATTTTTATGCTTAAAAATTATATGTAGTTTGTACATGATGCGTTGATAATTGAGAAATAAAAGCCTACACACAAAAATATTTATTTAAAATAATGGATGTATAAATATTTAGTAGATTAATTATTAAGTTTTACCTAATACAAGTAAACTATAGCAAATTAACTGTTAATGTTTACATGTTCCATGTTAAGTATAATGGAGTAAGTGTTAACCTTTTTCTTAAATGTTAAGTTTTGTTAATTAACTGTTAAGTTTTACCTATTACGTGTGAACTATAGCCGATTAATTGTTAATGTTTAGTTGTTCCATATAAATATAATTGAGTAACTATTATCTTTATTCTTCTAAATGTTAAGTTTCGTAGATTAACTGTTATGTTTTACCTAATACATGTAAACAATAGTTGACTGACTGTTAACATTTACCTAGTCCTTCTTAAATATAATTGAGTAATTGTTAACTTTTGAACCTTCTTAAATATAATTGAGTAATTGTTAACTTTTGAATAAGACTATATAATGTAAAATATCAAGTAATTATTAATATATGTC